ATAGTATAGTACAGTATGGTATGGTATGGTATAGTATAATATAGTATGGTATGGTATGGTATGGTATAGTATAGTACAGTATAGTATAGTATAGTATAGCATAGCATAGCATAGCATAGCATAGTATAGCATGGTTTAATATGGTATGGTATGGTATGGTATAGTATAGTATAGTATAGTATAGCATAGCATAGCATAGTATAGCATGGTATAATATGCTATGATACGGTATGGTATGGTATGATATGGTATAGTATAGCATAGTATGGTACAGTATAGTATAGTATAGTACAGTACAGTACAGTATAGTAAAACAAAACAACAGATATTTGCTCTAAAAAGGAATAGGTATGAAAGGATGCCCATCAGTTGGGGAATGACTGAACAAATTATGGTTTATGATTGTGATGGAGTACTATTACACTATAAGAAATGATGAAGGGGTTGGTTTCAGAGAAAACATGGCAAGCCCTATATGAACTGATGCAAAGTGAAGTGAAAAGAACCCGGAGACCATTGTGCACAGCAACAGCAATGTCATCATAATGATCAATTGTCAAAGACTTGTCTACTCTGATCAATATAATGACCCAAGACAATTCCCTAGGAGTCATAAAATAAGTTCTCCACCTTCACAGAGAGAGCTAATTAGCTCTGAATGCAAATTGAAGTTTAATTTTTTGCACTTTATTTTTCCTGCTTTTTTTGTTGCAATTTGGCTAATATGGAAATATGTTCTGCATGATTTCACATGTGTACTTAATATCATATTGCTTGCCTTCTTAATGAGTGGGGGAGGAGCTGAAGGGGAGGGAGAGAATTTGGAACTCAAAATAATGTTAATAAATTAATAATAAACATTTTAAAAAAGGAATAAGTAACCGAGTGTTAAATCGATCTTATTACATAATAATAATAGCTAAAAAACATTTATTGTTATATTATATTAATATGTGCCAGGCACTGTGCTAAGTGCTTTACAAATATCTCATTTGATCCTCACAACTATCCCAGAAGGGAGGTGCTAATATTGTCCCCGTTTTACAGGAAACTGAGGCAAACAGAGGTTGAGTGACTTGCCCAGGGTCACGTAGGCAGTATCTGAGGCTGTATCTAAACCCAGGTCTTCATGACTTTCAGGCCCAGCATTCTATGCACTGCACCACCTAGAGGCAAGTGTTGCAAGTATTACTTAATACAAAATTACCACAAATTAAGCACCTTCAGTGGGCCAGACACTGTTCTCAGCACTGAGCATACAAGTACAGAGAATGACATAATTCCTACTCTCAGGGAGCTTGTGTTCTATTTGAGGAGACAACAAGTACATGCATGAGTATATAGAGGATAAATATTGAGGGAATGAGCACAAGTTAGTTAGATTCAAGGGGGTTAACGTGGGAGATAACTAGCTACTGGAAGGGAGTCAGAAAGGCTTTAAGTAGAAGGTGGTACCTGAGTTGAGTCTTATAGGAATAGAGGGAATCTGTGAGGCAGAGGTGAGGAGGGAGTGCATTCCTAGAATACTGCACAGCCTATGCAAAGACATGGCAGTAGGAGCTGGAATATCATGTGTGAGGAACAGAGAGATGACCAGTTTGGCTTGACTGCTGAGTCAAGCATCAAACACTCTTAACACTCAAACCTAGCAGCTACCCACATAGGACTCCTAAGCAGTGTCATTCTCAGATCCTGATAGCCACTCTTTACCCCTCCTCCCAGTTCCACCCCATCGTAGAAGAAGCATAACATCGTCACCCGTGGCAAGATGTCCAGTTGTGTCCACAGCAGCAGTATGGGTTGCACCAGTTATCAATGGCAGTACAGTAGGTGCTACCACAGTAACCAGGGGGCCTTCCAGGAGGGGAAAGTGCTTTCCTACCACACTAACCAGGCAAACAGGATATCAGGATCAGAGCTCAGCTGCAGCTTTTTCCCCATCTCCCTTTTTGGCTCTACTACCCAGACTTCAGTCCTCACCTCATCCCATCACAAGACACTCCTTCCCCCTCACCTTCTGAAATGGATGTGCTGAAAGCTGCTAAGCCGCACACAGGCATCTCAGAAATGCAATCAGTCAACAGTCATTTATTAGGAACTTACTATTCAGGCATGATGCTAAGTGATACTATAGATCTCTGTCCCCTCAAGAAGCTCATATTCTAATGAAGAGATAACATCTCAAAAGTAATCAAGGACATACAAACTATTTAAAGAGTGTAGAAAGGTAATCATAGAGGAGAAGGCATTGACACTTAGGATGGACTGGGGAACACCTTCTGCAGAAGGTGGGATTTGAGATGTATCAGAGGAAGGCAGGGAAGCTAAGAGGTTGAGGTGAAGGGGGAGAACATTCTAGACATGGGCAACAGCCACTGTGAAGGCACAGAGATGGGAAGTTATTAATGTGATTCTGGGTAAATCACTTAACCTCTTTATGTCTGTTTTATTTTCCTTATCTGTAAAATAGGGATATTAATAATATCCACCAAATTGAGGGGATGCCCATCAATTGGGGAATGAGTGAACAAGTTGTAGTGTATTAATATAATTGAATACTATTGTGCTAGAAGAAATGGTGGACATACAGATTTCAGAAAAACCTGGAAAGACTTACATGAACTGATGCTGAGTGAAGTGAGCAGAACCAGAAGAACATTGTACACAGTAATAATAACACTGTGCGATGATCAGCTATGGTTGACTTAGCTCTTCTCAGCAATACAATGATCCAAAGCAATTCCAAAAGACTCATGTTGGAAAATGCTATCCACATCCAGAGAAAGAACCATGGAGTCTGAATGCAGATTGAACATACTATTTTCACTTTTTTCTGTGTTTTTTTCCTTTTGTTCTGTTTCTTCTTTCACAACATGACTAATGTGGAAATATGTTTTACATGATTGACAAGTATAACCTATTGCTTGCCATCTTGGAAAAGGGGGAGGAGAGGGAAGGAAAAAAATTTGGAACTCAAAATCTTTCAAAACATGAATGTTGAAAATTGTCTTTACAAATAATTGGAAAAAATAAAATACTATTAAATTTTTTAAAATAGTGCCTACATGTAAGGGTTGCCGTGAGGATGAAATGAGATAATTGTAAAGCACTTAGCACGATACCTAGTACATAGTAAATACTTCTTTCTCAGCCTCCCATTGGGTATTTCATTCCCCTCTCTCGCCACCACTTCCAAACCCTCATGCCCATGCAACATGGAACCCTCATTATGACCTCATCATGGTAAATTGATACCCAGATCCCAGTTTTGCAAGTTTCACCCCTCATGATCCTCAGATGATTGATTTACTTGATGGAAACTCAGGGAAGATGGCATGTCAGCTTTATGATCAAACTCTTCTAGTATCATCTTACTAAATAAGTAGTTTCCTTATGTGCAAGGAGCAGCAAGTAGATTAGTATAACTGGATCTTAGAATGAGTAGAGAAGAATAAAGTATTAAAACTGGCAAGCTATGGAAGGGGCCAGGTTTTGAAGTGCTTCAATGTGAAGCTAAGGACTTTGAGCCTGGAGATACTGGGAGCCATGTGTACTTCCCCAAGAGACTCAGAAAAAAGGCATATACACACCCTTTCAAAAATAAAGAAGTGAGAGAGGGCACTAACTAGGTGGAGGGCGGGGCAGGATCTAGTCTCCATCATGATTCAGGAAGGAAGAAAAAATGGTTTTTGTTTTGTTTGTGTTTATTTATATAGGAGATTAAAATGAAATTGAATGGGCATTTTGACAGGTGGGGGTGGGAAGCTTCTCTAAGTAACAGATAGGTAGAAGAAACAAAGGTTGGGAAACAGATACTAGGGTAAGGTCAAGGACCATTAGGGGAGAGGGACAGAGTGTGTAAGGAGGCACTGGGGGGTACAGCTAGAGGTATGGTATGGAGCTGGGAGGCAATGAAGAATGGAAGTCAAGCATACACAGAAAGAACTAGGGATGCTCTCCTACACTCACCAATCTTCAAATTCAGGAGAAATTCTTAAGGGTCTAGGAGTCAGTCCCACATGATGTCCCAGCTGAGTGGTGTCCTCTTTGACCTCTGAAGGTCTTTTCCAGGTGAAGAGTACAAAGCTTCATCTACAAACAAGCCCAAGCAAGCCATAACAGGTAAGACTCACCAGATCAATTTCCATCCATTCAGCAGAAATGAGAGCCTTGTCAAACGAAAGGCATTCCTGCTATTGCAACTTTTCCACATTCTTCTCCTCACCCACTTACTATGGGACTATCCCCAGCTACTGGGAATCCAACCAGCAAAGAGCCTGGTTTCCACCTCCACCCACCTCCATCTGCCTCCACCTTCTGCTTCCACTCCTCCATCTCCCCTTCTGGGTATCAAGGTTTCACCATCATCCCAAGAACCCTGAGATAACATCATGATGAACCATCAGCCAGTCACTTGACAGGAATTCCTGTCAGCTGCTGGGGCTGGGCTCCTACCATCAGATATATGGGATTAAAGGCTGACAGCAGTCAGAAGAAACTGTCACAGAAGCAAAATCAGTACCGTGTCCCCTCCCCTGTCCTGAAGCGGCAGAAGATTGTGTTATGCACAGTTGGGAGAAATGATGTCTCAGACCTATAAATTATTGCTTGGGACAGCTCATCAGGAGGTGGGAGGTGGGATTTGCTTGACTGGATCCCAATTACTTCTTTTCCCTCCTTCAGACTAGTGAAGGAACTCAGGGTGGGATGAACACCGTAATGAATATGCAGAGATGGACCTTGTAGAACAAGAGGACTTTGGGTCCTGAAAATGCAGGAGCCCAATCCATTGTAATGGGGGTAGGAATTTAGGGGTGACTGGCTTATCCAAAAGTGAGAGATTGGGGAGCGAGAGAGAGAGAGGAGAAAGAAAGAAGGAAGGAAGGAAGGAAGGAAGGAAGGAAGGAAGGAAGGAAGGAAGATCTGTTACCACCACTCCTCTCCCTCACCTTTGAGGGTAGCCTCAAATGTGTAGAGACTCAGGCATAGATAGGGACTGAAGTTTGATTTCATTTTTTATTGGAAGCTCCCAGAGAAAGAATCTTCCTCTTCCAATGTAAGTCAGCACCTTCATGTAATTTACAATTTCAGAGTTTCTTAGAGAGGTTGTAACTTGCCCAGGGTCAAATGGCCAGTATGTGTCAGAAGTAAATCTTCAGCTCCAGTCTTCTTGGCTCCAAGATGATCTCTCTATCCACTATACCTCTCATACACATAAATAATGGTCTTCATAATTTCCACCCCTCACCGCCTTACCCAAGAACTCTTGCAGAATCCCCAAGGAGGCTGAGTTCTCTGAATGATCTCTTACTTTCTTCCAGAGAATGCAAGTGAGTCAGGGATGCCTTTCCCCTCAGCCCTTTCCCAGGTGGCCCAGCCTTACAATCTTCCCCCACCCAAATATAAAGAATACAGTTGTCTCCTAGGTTACTGATTATCCTAGTTCTCCCATTACCACCACTACCTTCCCTTCCTCATTTCATCTATTTATACAAGAAGATTGGAATTAAATCCCTGAGGTGCCCTCACTTCTAAGTTCTATCATTCCAGAAGCATATAGAGTCTACAGGTCTAGCTAGGATTCTTCCCTCCCTCTTCTCTCCCTATATTTTTTTTCCAAGCTTCTTTTCTTTTCCCCTTTACTCTTCTTTCTCCTATCCTTCCATTTTTAAAAATCATTTCCTTCCTTCTCCACTTGTCCCTTTTCCACTTACACATTTAGCTGGTATGTATTCATGATAATAAATTCCTGGATCTGAATAATTTATAAATCAAAACAACAGCTTTGCAATACTTTGAACAGAGATATATTTTCAATAAATGATTGTTGAATTGAATTGATTTCAGTGAAAAGAAAATAACACTCTTCATGTGACCAGAACAGAAAGCAAAAAAAAAAAAAAAATAAGTCAGTAATCCAGATGTTTATTTAACATGATGCTAAACATCTTTAAGTTTAAGTAACTTTCTAACCAAGAGTTTCTAGGTTTCTACCCTCTCTAGTTCAAACAATCCTTGTAGATAACTCAATAATTCAGGATCCAAAAAGCTGTGGAGGAGAGGTGTGAGGGGAGGAGAGAAAAGGACAGAATTGTATGGTCCAGCTAGCTTTATACACCCAAGAATTTCTTTGTTACCTGGTATCTCCCCTTTACCTTCTGCCATGTTGATGACACCAATAGAGGTTCCCAAAAGAAATCCTTTCCCCAACTAGACTGTAAGCTCACTAAGGGTAGGCATCATATGAGCTTTGGATCCCCCACAATGTCCAGTATGATGGCTTGCATATAGCAGGCATTTGTTGAACTAAGAGGGTGGGTGAATGAATGAATGAATATCTGTTGAGTATCTCACGTCTAGAATGTGTCGACACTGACCCAAGTGACCTAGAGATTTGTCAGTAATCAAGCTCACTGAATATATGGAGACAATCAAAAGGGTTCATTGAGGCTAAATAATTTCCATTTTCCCCAAACTCAACCATCCAAAAGATCCTTTTAAGACTTGAATGAATAATTGATCTGCTCCCCAGAGATGCATTAATGCAAACTGGTAACACTTCTCTCTTTCCCTTTGGGGCATATAGACTCTACCTTTCCTTACTGCCTGTCCTCATCTCCCCACCCCCACTTTTTCTTATCAGGCCATGACTGTGTAGATACTTCTATTCCTTTCCTTTTGCTCAAATCAGTTACCATTCTAACTTTTCAGTGGTTAGCCACACTCACAGAAAACAACCCTGTTGGTTTTATAACTATAGCCCATTAATGTCCCCATAAGGGAAATTGTGGTAGACTTATGGAGAAAATAGGATTGTAATGTTTATGTGTTCTTAATGTTTATGAGTTTGATGTTATAGGCCGTAATGAAGATGGGAATAGGTGTGCCTCTGATTAGCTCACTGTTATAGGCATGAAGAGTTTCTGCTAACAACCCAAGCTCATAAAAGCCACCAAATGGCTTTTCTTCTGTTTTTATGGGGCCAAACCTCACATCCTCAAATGCATAAAAGGGTTGAGTAGGACCCACTAGCTCCAAAGGGACTCCTAGCACCAGTTGGATCCATTGCTCCTTGGTCACTCTCTGCTTCCAACTTAGAAGCCACCATGTCCTGCCGCTCCTTTCGGGCTAGCTCTGGTCACTGCATTGGCAACTTCAGCTCCTGCTCGGCAGTGGTGCCCCAGCGTCTGAACCGTTACCAGGCCAACTCTGTCTCCTGCCGAAGTGGTGTCAGCTTCCGGGGCTTGGGTGGTTTTGGGAGCCGGAGTCTGTGCAATTTTGGATCCTACTCACCCCGAAGGGTGGCAGTGGGATCTTACCCCATCCACTCTGGGGTTGGCTTTAGATCTGGTGGCAGGATTGGTTTTGGGCCTGGCAGTGGCATTGGCTTTGGATTTGGGCCTAACGGTGGGTCCTGCTTTGGGGCCGGTAGCAGCATTGGCTTGGGGCCCAGCGGCGGTATTGGCTATGGGTTTGGCAGATCTGGTTTTGGGTATAGAGTTGGTGGAATTGGAGGCCCAGCTGCGTCTTCCATCACAGCTGTGACTGTCAACACAAGCCTACTGACACCTCTCAATCTGGAGATTGACCCCAATGTTCAGAGGGTGAAGAAGGATGAGAAGGAGCAGATCAAGACTCTAAATAACAAGTTTGCTTCATTCATTGACAAGGTATCTCCATATCCGTCCTCTTGAAGCTGATTCTCTGGGGCCAGGATTACCAAACGAATGTTAATTTTCTCTCTCCTTCAAGAGGCCAGAGTGTTGGCCAAATCACTTGTACTCTCCAGGTGTGCTTTGGAAGCTCCTTTTGTGTGTTTTCAGGGTCAGTCTTCTGTAGCATAGCACACAGGTGAAATGGACTCTTAGTTGAACAAGGTGTGAGGCAGACAATCAAACATCTGGAGAAAAACTGGAGAAGTCAGACAAATAGGAGAATATTTAAGCCCAACAGCTGGGTTTGGGCAGTGTCTTGTTCACTGATGAGATCTTTGTTTTTCTTGTGTAAAGCTACTTAAAGTCAGAGAGGTTTGTTGCTGGCCACCCTTGTATGTGAAAAGCAGAAAACTGGCACAGGTGATTTGGGGTGGCCACCTCCAAAGAACCCTCTGGCCCTTGGCTCTCACCTCCTGCTCCCCGCCTGTCCATCCTCATTTGTATGGCAAGACCCAAAGGACCTTGGCGCTCTGGGGGAAATTGCACTGACTCAGCCTCACAGAATGACCTGGGGTATTCTTTGTCTTCTTAGTTCTGTGGACGTCATTGAGGATTCCTTGTTTTTCTGAAGGGCTATGCTTGTATGCATAGAGGGAAGTGAAGGACTGAGGTATACGTTTAAATAATTCAGTCCACAAACTCTAGCTCTAACTCAGTGCTCTAGATTTGGAGGAAGTCCTTCTGGGTCTGAATGACCCAGATCATTATATCTAACTTTCTCCTTACTACGGGGTGTAGACAGTCTCTGCTTCTCCTTCCCCAAAGTGGAGTGTAGACAACCTTCTTATAGGATCATAACGATGGAGTTGGAAGGAACCCCAGAGGCCACCTTATCCAACCCTCTCATTTTAGAGATGAGGAAACTGAGGCCCATGGAGGTTAACTGATTTGCCCGACATCACCCACTTTAGAGCCGTCTAAGTGGCCAAACCAGATCATTCAGAAGAAATACAAACAAATGAACACTTGTTCTTTGTGGCCTGAATAAAAGTCACTTTGGACCATGAGAAAGAGAGAAGCTACAGCTTTATTTCACTTGGGGAAGTGCAGATTCAGCCTAAATTTCTGGGTGAGAATGTGCCTAGTAGATTAAATATATTCATGGGCAAATGCAGTCAACTTAGAACTGTCCCTGCTCATGGCAGGGAGTAGTTTCAGGGTCCAGGGTAGCCTTCAATATCAGATAATCCTCTGAGTCATCTCTACTTGACCCTGGGGTGTTTTTGAACTTCCAGAAAGTTGTCATACTGATTCTGCTTTATGTGGATTCCTATTTTATTCTGGGGAAGGGTCCCGTTACTTTCTAGACCAATGTCAAAGAGCCCAAGTAGAGTCATCACCACCATTGGCCCCTTTCTCTTTAAGCTCCTGGCATGCTGATCTTTCCAAAGAAGGTGATTCTTAAATGTTTGAGTTCTAAGGGCCTTTCTTTTCAATTGAGCTTAGTTATAAGGAAGCAATGTTCTCCTATCTCCTGTTGGGCTGAGGTGGGGGTTAGTAAAAATGAGCTAAAGAGGTAGCAATGCCAGCAAAGAGCTGAAAGCAAAAATGTATCATGGCCAACTGAGACAGAGAGGTGAGGCCATCCCAGCTCTTGTTCCTTTGCCTGGTGGGGTTTAGGTTCGGTTCCTGGAACAGCAAAACAAGCTCCTAGAAACTAAGTGGAACTTCCTCCAAGACCAGAAATGTGTCAGGAGCAACCTAGAGCCGCTCTTCGAGAGCTACATCAATAACCTGAGACGGCAGCTGGATGTGGTCGCCGGGGACCAGGCCCGGTTAGATGCCGAGAGGAACCATATGCAGGATGTCCTGGAGGGCTTCAAGAAGAAGTGAGTGTTAAAGGGGCCTAGAGACCCCGAGTGGGAAGTCTCTGACAGAGGGACTGGGGGTAGAGGCTGTGGAGGGTCTCCTGAAAGGGAAACTATTACCAAGGGGAGTGAGGAGGGATGCTGTCCTTGGCTCTGAGTGAGGAAAAAAGGCAGTGCGGGATACTCTGCTACTGGTGGGATGAGGGCACAGGTTTGCTTGATGAGTTGGTCTCTCAAGTTTCCTTTCACACTGAGTATTGTGAGATTGTAGGAATCTGATTGAGGAGACCTTTCTGAAACTTGGTTCTTCAGCAAACAATGAGTGGATTCAACCCAACATTGGGTACTTTGTGACCAAGTAGTTCAAACTGAGAATCAGAAAAGTTAACCAGTCCTCTAGATAGCTTTCAGGCTCCAAACTCTGTTTTGATAAAATAAAAGGAATTTGGATGGAAATCTTGTATATACAGGGTATATATGGGTATGTGTGTGTGTGTGTGTGTGTATATATATATATATATATATATGTATGCATATATAGCTTGAAGCCACCCAACAATGGCTTTAGAGCCCCCTCCCCCTCCCCACCCCTTTGGTTGTTGAAGCTGAAGAAGCCCTTAGGATCAAAGATTTAGACCTGGAAGGGACCCTAGAGGTCATCAGTTCCAAATTTCCTCATTTTACAGATGAGGAAGGTTAGGTCCTTGGGAGGATAGTCACATAGCTACCAAGTGGCCAAGCTGGGATATGAGAACTAGTCCTTTAACTCCAAATCCACTCTCCAAGGCTGTCATTGCTGGTTGTAAAACAGTCTCAGAAATGTTGTTTTTAAATTTGTGATAGGTCGCCATATTTTCACATCACTGTTTTCCTCCAGAGTACAGAGTCCTGTCCTGGGTATTTGAGGGACATGAAAGAATAGAAGGAATAGAGAAAGAAGGAGACATGGTCTCCTCTCTCAAGGAGTTCTCTCAGCTTAATATGAAGGTTGCGGGGAGTCAGGACTAGAAGTCCAGGCAACTTGTTTGTGCAAATGAATTGAATTCGAATTGAGCAACCAGCACTGGTGTGTGTGTGTTGGGGGGGTGGATTTAAAGAGCATTTAATCCTGGATAGGGTCAATCAGGGAAGACTTCCTGGAAAAAGAGAGTGTGGAGCAAAGTTGACAAAAGAGAAAGGGACAGTGCTAGGGGAAGAAGGGATGGAGAGACAGTGTCTTAAGACAAAAGTATAAATTGTGGTAGGGCTTGTAGCTGATATGAGTGAAGTGTGGGTAGGGGACAGAAAGGAATGTTACCTAGATGGACCAAAGGGATAATTCTAGAAAATCATGAGCAACTGGCCTTGGTTTGGTTCAGGATGAGTAACTCAGTTTCTTTGTGCTTGCCAACCCAGGTATGAAGAGGAGGTAGTATTCCGGGCCAATGCAGAGAATGAATTTGTGGCCCTGAAGAAGGTAAGTGAGAGCTGTAGGTGTGAGACAACTCTCAGCAAAACAGGCAAATGTTTTGTATACTGAACCATTACCCAAGCACCCTCAAGATGGATCCCAGAGCCACCTTACCCAGACATTAGAACCCCTGGGGAAGCAGGGATTGGATAAGTTGGCTTTCCAAATCTGGATTTTCAGATTTAATATAGCTATTAAAACAAAAATTGAATCTTGGGAAAAATGTCCCTCTTGCCACTTTCTGATCATTAAAGGAGAGAGGAGTAGTAGTAGTAGTCATCGTAGTAGTAGTAGTAGTAGTTGTAGTAGTAGTACTTGTAGTAGTAGTAGTAGTAGTAGTAGTAGTAGTAGCAGCAGCTCCATCTCCATCTCCATCTCATACTTCCATAACACTCACCTACTGCAATACTATCCAGTGGCCTCCTATTTGGCAAATCTTCCCATCCTTCTAGTCCCAAGTTGCCCCACCTTCTGTAGCCCTGGTCCTAATTCTTGGGATTGGTGAGCATAGGTCTCCTTCCCTCTCTCCTTCTTGTAGGATGTGGATACAGCTTACTTAAACAAGTCTGACTTGGAGACCAATGTGGAAAACTTGACCAGCGAGATAGAATTCCTGAAAGCTCTGTATGGACAGGTAAATGTCTCTTCTGTAGTCTTAGAACCATAAACCCTATTTCTCAGCAGTCAATTGGAAAAATTTTCCCATGACAAGAGGGCTAATGTCAAGTCATGAGAATGGCTTAGACGTCATCAAAATCAAGCCCATGGAACTGACTGAAGAGTCCAAAGAATATTCCCTCTAGAGTTACCACCTGCTGTCCATATTCTGTGCTTCCCCTAAGGTTTGGAGACTTCTTTCTTGATATATAACCAGCTCTCAAATATTGATGGGTGGATTATGCACAGAACACACTCCAAAGGAATAGGGCTTCTCTCTACCCTCTAATACATCCATAGGCCATCTACTCTTGCTCAGCTGGTGTGTGGGCTTAAGAATAATGGGGGCACATGATGATTTTACTTTTTGCCTGCACAATTCAAAAAGGTAAATAGATCTTGGCCCCTTCAAATTACCCAAATAATAAACTCCAATAGAAGAGATTTTCAGATGGTCTATTTTGCCATTATCCACTCTTTTGAATTATATGTGGTTACTTCTTATCCCTTTAGAGAAGGAAGATAACTAACAGTTGACTGCAATTTTCTTTGTTCTCAATGAGATCTCATCTTTCAACCTCTTAGCAAAGTAGCAGGTCAAAAAGGTAGTCCCTGGTTATGCTCCTATTGCTGACTTCCTGTCTTGAGAATAGAGATTTATTTCCTTTTTGGTTTGTATCTCCAGCACCTGGCACATAGTAGGGATTTGATAAATGTTGGTTGATTGATTGATGATTGATTCATGTAGGAGGTCGAGCTGCTCAATTCCCACATCTCAGACACATCTGTAATTGTGAAAATGGACAACAGCAGAGACCTGGACTTGGATGGCATAATTGCTGAAATCAAGGCTCAGTATGAGGACATTGCCAGGCGAAGCCGGGCTGACGCCGAGGCCTGGTACCAAACTAAGGTGAGCTAAACAACTTCACCCCTCAAAAGCCATGGGGCGTGTGTACCAAAGTCGGGGGTGGGGGAGATGAATGAAGGAAAGGGTCAAGAATATAGATAGAACCTAGACCTGAGACCTCCCTACAATTGTCCCCTAAAGCATTTCCCTTCTCTACTGCATTAGAAATGTATTGATCCTCAAACCTCTAGGTCCTGATATCAACCTCCTAGAGCTGGACCTCTGAGGGAGTTGAGTTCTCTGAATTCAATGGTCTATTCTTATGAGAGGCAGTGTGGCATCATAGATAGAGTGATGAATCTGGCATCAGGATAACTTGTGTTCAAGACACGTAATAGTAATTAATAATAATTATTTATATAGAGCTTTAAGGTATTACATTTGATACTCATAACAAGAAAAGTACTATTCTTATCCTATTTTACAGATGAGAAAACTGAGGCTGGGACAAATTATGTGATTTTCTGAGGTTCACATAGCTAGTAAAGTGTTTAAAGTAGGTTTTAAACTCAGGACTTACAGATTCAAGGCTCAGTACTCTGTACACTGTACCACCTAGCTTCAGCAACTATTTATCTAGCTAGTTGACTGTCTACTTTTTCTTTTTTTGGTGAGGCAATCGGGGTTAAGTGACTTGCCCAGGGTCACACAGCTAGTAAGTGTCAAGTGTCTGAGGCTGGATTTGAACTCAGGTCCTTCTGACTCCAGGGCCAGTGCTCTACCCACTGCACCACCTAGCTGCCCCAACTGTCTACTCTTAATCAAGGGAAAAAAAGGAAACAAGTGAGATAAGACTGTTTTGCCCCATCAGTCAGATCCATTCAACCCAACACACAAGTTACTCCCAAGATTCACAAAACACTCCCCCATGTGCTGCATAGGGTGAGGGCATGACCTTTTTGCTCTTGTAGGAGGTAACTGTCAGAGCTGGAACCCCAGCACTGTCTCTGTCATGCCCTGGTCCCTTGGGGGTCCCCCTGCTTGCTCAAAGGAAAACATCACACTTTCAGAGGACGCTTAGCAGGGAGGAGCAAGGCTTGAGTTTCAGTAAAACAAGTTTTTCCTCCCCACAGGGGACGGCTTAGCAGTGGTGGGGGAGAGGTGGAGGAGCTTAGAAGCAATTCATTAAATTCCAGGATGGAAAGTTAGAGCTGATTACTGCTCAGCTACTATTGAAGGCCACTAAAAAATAATTTAGTTCAGCTGTATGTAGGTTGGGTGGCTGCTGGGGTACAAAAGAAATACCAGTTCAAATCCAGCATCAGTCACTCACTAGCTGCGTAACCTAGGGCAAGTCACTTAATTTCTGTTTGCCTCAGTTTCCTCATCTGCAAAATGGGGATTATAATAGCCTCTATCTCCCAAAGTTATTGTGAGGACCAAATAAGACACAATTTATGAAGTGCTTAGCACAGTTCCTGGTACATAGTAGATGCTGTATAAAATGCTAGCTATTATTGTCATTCACTAGTAGGCTTAAGGGAAATGGAACCTCCCCAGCTTCTCCTCTTTGGTCTATTTGTGTGGGTTCCTACTGGACTCTGAGGGCACTGAGGTGAGGGAGGGGGCGGCTGGCAAAACACCACCAGGACGATGACCCAACTCTTGACTCCTATGCCTTTCATCTGACTTTGCCCTTATAGTATGAGGAAATGCGAGTAACAGCGGGTGTGCACTCTGATAATCTTCGGAGCACACGGGATGAGATCAATGAGCTAAACCGCCTGATCCAGAGGCTGAAGACTGAGATTGATCATGCCAAGGCACAGGTGAGCACAGCGTCATCAAGCAAAGGGAGAGGAAGGTTAGACCCAAGGGTTTCCCCCTTTAGGGTAGACTTTCCAAAATCAGGTGAGCCAATTAGCCCCACCCTCACTGGTCTCTGATGTGTATGCGATTCCTTCCTGAATGCTGAGGATTAGGCTTAGGGAGCAAGGAACAGGCCTTTCCCTGCCCTGTCCTGTTCTATCCTGCCCTGCCCTGCCTTGTCCTGCCCAGCCCACTAGGAGCTCCTATCAAGATGCAGAAAGATGCAACATACATCAGGTCATAGACACAGAATGATATGCATGTATCTGCATAAATATCAAATTAAAGATTTCTAGCTAGGGCTCAGCATTTCAATAATGGGAATGATGAGAGGGGCTAGGGACAACCCACTTAGGGGATTGGTTTAGGAAGGCCAGGAAAGGGGAGAGATAGGAGGAGAAAAACAGGGTGGGGAGGAGGGAAGGGAATTCGTATTTTGAGAATAGAGATTTATTTCCTTTTTGGTTTGTTTTTCCAGCACCTAGCACAGTGTAGGAGTTTGATAAATGTTGGTTGATTAATTCATGACTGATTTGTGCAGGAGATTGAGATGGTCCAGGAGAGAAGGTTGAAGGGAAGTCATCCCAGACAGGAAGGACATTATGAGTGAGACTTAGAGGCAGCAGAAGATGAGAAGTGTAGAGGATGTGTAGCTAGGACAGACAATACCAGCTGGCAGAGACACAGTGCTGGGCTTGAGAGGGGTGAGATAAGGAGGGGTCAGCTGAAGAAGGGATTAACTGCATCCCTTAGCAACATCCTTCCAGAGACCATCGATTTTTGTAAGCCTCACTTGGGGAATTGCATCCCAGTGTCTCAGTGCACCAACATGTCCCCAACATGTTTGGGAGGCTATTTGACTCTACCCAAGGATTAGGGACAAATAAATGCTCCCTTGCAATTTGTAACCCACAGCGTGCCAAATTGGAGGCTGCTGTTGCTGAGGCCGAGCAGCAGGGAGAGGCCGCTCTCAATGATGCCAAGGTCAAGCTGGCTGAACTGGAGGGGGCTTTGCAGCAAGCCAAGCAGGACATGGCCCGTCAGCTACGTGAGTACCAGGAGCTGATGAATGTCAAACTGGCCTTGGATGTTGAGATCACTGCCTACAGGAAACTCCTAGAAGGTGAAGAAAGCAGGTGAGCATATTTAATACAGGAGAAGAACTGAGGGTGGATCTTAGGAAGGACTAACTTTCTGCAGGGAGTGAGACAGTAGACAGAGTAAAGGACTGTTAATAAGGGACCTATGAAACAAATGACCTCTTCAGAAAGGGACAAGTAGACTCCTTCAGTAGGGAAGAATGTTTTTGACTTGTGGAGGTCACTAATTAGTTTTGTGACCATAAACAAGTCATTGCCCCTCTGTGAAATATATTTTTTTCATCTGTTAAATGAGGGAGTTAGTTGCACTGGGAGAGCTTGAGGATTCCTTCCAACTCTAAAATTCTATGACTATCCAACTTTTAAGGGTCCTCTTAAATCACCATGCCATGAAATCCATTTGGGGAATGTCCCCCTGGATCAGAGTTGGTGATTTCTAGAGTGATAGTAATATTGACAGAATTGTCAACTCATAGATGTCCTAGGAACCTGAGAAATCACCTAATAGAATTCCCTCATTTTATAGACGAGGAAACTGAGGCCCAGAGAAGGGAAATGATCTACCCAAGGTCACCCAGCTCACTAGCATCTGAATCAAGATTAGAATTCAATCTCCTGAGTCTCAGCCCAGTACTTTTCAAATAGACACTGTCTCTTCTACCTGACTTATCTTTTTTCATCTCTCTCTCCTTAGGATCTGTGAAGGTGTTGGAGCAGTGAACATATGTAAGAAAATTGTCTTTTTTTTTTCCCTGGGAGGGTGGGGGAAGAGTAGAGCAGGAGTGGGTGTGGTAAGGGTAGTTGCTACGTTTTTGCTCAGAATCACATTTGGGTCAGTAACCTGCCAAGGCTGAGGTTAGTGCGGGATGAGGTAAATACCTGGCTAGGGATAGGGGTCTTCTCATAGCTGGCCGGAATTTCCCCCAGAGGCCTCCAAGCCTTTGTGGAAAGCATTTGAAGGGCTGAGAAATAGTCAGCCTGTTTTAACAAGTCACAGACCTTACCCTCCATGGACAAAACCCTGGAAAATGACTGGAAATCCATTGGCAAGTAGGTCTGCTCACCCCCTGGTGGCTGGCTGGAGGGAAAGGTTGAGTTGAAATCTAACCTTCCTCAGTAGAGCCATCTAGGAACTCTTTGTTGTTATCAATTTAAATACTCAGTGCACTGTGATTCCTAAGGTCAAAGAACACTGGACATAGCCAAAGAAATGCTTGAGAACCAGTACATTGGCCCATCATCCCATCAATTGGTCAAGAGTTTATCCCTATTGCCACAAAGGCCCTCTAGTAGGTTTTGTGATGTTGCGACCAATACAAAGAGTAAAGGCTACATGAGTTCAGAGCGGGACATCTTTGAGGGGTCCTGGAGGGGTCAAGGTGAGGGCTTCATGGGGGAAAGGGCAAATCAAACTTGGAGTTGAAGACTGGAAAGGATTCAAGTGAGCATGGTAGAAAGGGGAAGGTAGGGGCAGCTAGGTAGTGCAGTGGATAGAGCACCAGCCCTGAAGTCAGGAGGACCAGAGTTCAAATTCAGCCTCAGACCAAACACTTGACACTTACTAGCTATGTGACCCTGGGCAAGTCACTTACCCCAAATGCCTAAAAAAAAAAATGGGGAAGGTATATCAAGGGTGGGGAGACCTGTGTTATAGAATGTTGAACAGGTATTTGGTGGCAGAGTTCTATCCTGGTAATGTGGGGATGCAGACCCTCCCCTGGCCTGGAAGAGTTTATACTCAAGCTGGGGAGAGAGGATACTTTGAGAATATTTACTGAACCACATGCTTCCCAACCAATACCCTGCAGTGTGACATTGGACAAGTAAGAGGAACTTGTGACGTAGTCTTTAAGAGCTATGCATAGGAATTATTAGGCAACTAGGTGGTGTAGTGGATAAGAGTTTTGGGCCTGGAGTCAGGAAGATTCATCTTCATGAGTTCAAATTTGGCCTTAGACACTCACTAACTATGTGACTCTGGGCAAGTCACTGAACCTTGTTTGCCTCAGTTTCCTTAACCACAAAATGAGCTGGAGAAGGAAATGGCAAACCAATATCTTCACCAAGAAAACTCCAAATGGGGTCCCGAAGAGTCAGACATGACTGACCAACAATAAATAGGAATTATTGATGCTATGAGTATCTGAAAAGACTCATGAGTATCACTGGTCTCAAAACCCAGAGCAACATAGGCTAGCTAAAAAACCTATGTCTACACTGCTGCTATAATCTGTATAATTCAGAACTTCACTCCTCCCCAAACCTCTTACACACTTTGCTTTGGGCTAAACTGAAATAACTCTAAGTGCCTGTATATTTGGAAACAGCAGGGTTTTCTTTTTCCGAGGTTTTTTTTTGTTTTTTTGGGGTTTTTTTTTTTTTTTTTTGATGAGGCAATCAGGGTTAAGTGACTTGCCTAGGGTCACACAGCTAGTAAGTGTCAAGTGTCTGAGGTCACATTTGAACTCAGGTCCTCCTGACTCCAGCCAGGGTCAGTGCTCTATCCACTGCTCCACCTAGGTACCCCCCTTTTCCTGATTTTTATCTGGAGTTTTGCTCTTGTAGCAGACCTGGCCTGAATCATCTGGTTGGGGAAGAAAATGATCATGGGCTGAATAGACAATAGAATTTTAGTTATATGATTCCCAGCCTACCTTGACTAGAGTGGGCCTTGGGGGAGTGAATTTGTGTGGGTATGTGGGATGTAGCTCACATTTGCCTGGAGGGATGTTAAACGGCCGGTCCACAGAGTTGAGCCTGGAATTTGGTCAGGCACATGTACATTGTCCATATGTATGGGCCTGGGAAGCAGCCTAGTGTCCTAGAAGTTGTCATTTCCCTCAGGCTCCCCTCTCTGATGACTCCTTTCCTTCTCCAGCTGTGAGCAGTTCCAGGGGTGGTGTGATATGTGGCTCAGAACCCTTTGTCTCCAGTTCCTCCTACGCCCGAGGCGGGCCTGGCTTCTCCGGGGGTAGCAACATCTGTTCCAGCAGCGGGCTCCTGAGTTCTGGGGGTGCCTGGGGTTCTGGCAGCTCCTGCGGCACAGGCCTGAGCCGAGGATCTAGGCTCTCTACCAGAGGAGGAGACGTGGCAGTGACCAGCGGAGGGAGCACTGTGATTGCTGGTGAAGCCTGTGCCCCCTGCAATCCCTGTCTCCCCATGGAGGGTTTTAGCAGCAGCAGCAGCGGCAGCCGGAGCGGTCGGAGCTCCACTGTCCACTTTGTCTCCACTACCTCATCCCACCACAGCAAGTACTGAACGAAGAACCCAGGATCCGCCATTGCCTGAGAGAGAGGAAGAGAGAGAGAGAGACAACCACCTTTAGGAGTCCTACGCTGGACTTTGTGGATGGGATGCCCCTAAATTACCCCCAAATTCTCCCTTCTCTAGAGGAGCTATCTATCTTGTGAATTCTCTGGAGCCACAGTTTGTCTCCCTGTGAACCCTGGCAGCTCTGGTCAGTGTGTATTCAGGAAGGAAAATTAAAATTAATTCTCCTATGACACATAGCTTTGGGAAGGTAAATCTGCTGCCAATCAATATGTACCCAGTCTTTCAAAGCCAAAGAAATAGAGAAGGAGACAGTGTGGTAGCACAGTGGAGCAGTAGCTGGCTGTGAACTTGGAGAACCTGGGTCTGAATGCTGACTCAATCATCCAGTCATACCATCTCAGCTAAAACCCTTTATTTCTTTGAGTTTCAGTTCTCTCGCTACTAAATGTGGAGTTTGGACTTAAAGACCTCTAGTTTCAGTTCTCTCGTCTACTAAATCTGGAGTTTGGACTTAAAGACCTCTAGTTATCTCATCCAGACGACCCTTCTCACTCTAAATCTTTAAGCCTATGATTTTTGGCATTCAGTTTTAGTAATCCCTGTCCCTGCTTCCCTCTATTTGAAGACAAGTAATTGTTTGTATTTAACACAAGTTTCTCTTGTCCATACTCCCTTTGCTTCTTTTCTCTCTCTTGGGCAAAAAAGAAATAATTTTGACCCTCTTTCCTGGATTTGTAAGTCTCTGCTATCCTAGATTCCTTTGGGCCTGGTATCTCCCTCAAAGAGAGCCCCTTGTCTTGGAGGGTTGGAGTTATATATCCCCAGGTGATTATCTCAGGAGCTGTGTCTGTCCACTGTGTGTATGAAAGCTGACTGCTAATGCTATATTTTTCTTGCTGGGTTGTTTGTCTGACATTGTAGTATCTAAAGTCTACAACTGAGTTCTGTTTAGGGCTGTGCTTGTCATCCCTGGGAAGGATGGCATCTCAGGACAGTGGAGGGAAGGTCCTTGCCAAAATGAGACCATCTGATTGGTGGGAAGTCAAGCGATATCTCTGGATGATGCTTTATTTCTCTTCTCGGCAATGGTTAGAGACCTCCAGCTGCTTGCTGGCATCTAGAATGTATCTATCAAGATATGAAAGGAGAAGAAAAGGGAAGGAAGTTATTTGTATGCACATATGTGTTGCTCTTCATGTTTTCTGGTGTTTCCAATAAACTTGCCAAGCTGACTACAAGAAGGACTTTGTCTTTCTCGTTTGGAGATTCTTTATGGGAATGCAAAGCAGGAACTAGACAGTTATCTAGTAAATCAGGCACCTCTCAATTACAAAATGCCTAGAGAGCCCTAGGCAACTAGGTGGTGCAGTGGATAGAGTGTAGGGCCTGAAGTCAGGAAGACTCATCTTCCTGAGTTTAAATCTGGCCTCAGACACTTACTAGCTGTGTGACTCTGGGCATGTCACTTAACCCTCTTTGCCTGTAAAATGAGCTGGCAAAGGAAATAACAAACCACTCCAGTATCTTTGCCAAGACAACCCCAAATGGGGTCACGAAGAATCTGACATGACTGAAAAAATGACTCAACAACAGCAAAGAGAGGTCTATCCTGAGAATATGGGAAAGACCCTGCCCTAACCCCAGATGGGGCTTATAATCAAGCTGTGGACAGACAGCATGTGGCAAAGACTTTGAGAACACTTACAAAGCCATATGCCACATAAGTGTAGCCAATAACTTACTGTGTGATCTTGGACAAAACACTTTTCCTCTCTGGGCTTCAGTCTCCTCATCTATGAAATAAGATTATTGGACTATGTGATCTTTCAGCATTATTTTTCTATAAGTGTAAGTAAATACAAACTGGGCCAGTTAGGGAAAGGAAGGGAGCAAGGATGAGTGCATCTGAGAAGGTTTCCTGGAGGAGGCAGAGAGTGGAGAAGGGGAGGGGCTTTAACCTGCTTTTGAAGGAGAAAAGCCTAAGCTGGTAAAGAGAAATAGAGTGTATTCCCATTAAGAGTAATGACCTTCAGACCAAACACTTGACACTTACTAGCTGTGTGACCCTGGGCAAGTCACTTAACCCCAACTGCCTAAAAATTAAAAAAAAAAGAATAATGACCTATCCCAAGGTGAGAGACAATCATGGGCCAAGGACAGGGAGCAGATCCCCCTGGACAGAGCAGAGGATTATGACAAAACAAGGCATCACCTGAACTGGAGGATCTCTTGGACAGATTTTCTGACACCTCTGGCCTTTGTGAATTTTTTGTTGACCATGACTTGGGCACCTGAGTTGGGAAATTTGTTCTCCAAACACTATGCCCTAGTGTTCACAGGATTGCCAATTTTATTGGCTTTTCTTTAAGTTATATACTCACAGGAAAGTCCTCTGTCAATGTTGAAGTGTGGCAGAAATACGAATTATAATTCTCCAGTGGTATCCCCTTCCCACCATGCCTATTTCAGTGCATTTTAAAGATGTTAGCTTGAAAAAGCCAAGGTCTCTCACTGCATCTGGGGCCATCTCCAGTCATCCTGATTTAAATCTTGTCACTGGACCCAGATGGTTCTGGAAGAGAATGTGAGGCTGCTGACTCTGCACAGCTCATTTAAATCTAATTCACTTGTGTGTCATGGCACCACCTCCCTGATGTCATGGATCTCTTCAAGAATGAAGGACAAACAACAATTTCATTGCATACCATCAGTGCAAATGCTTTAAAACTTCTACTTTAGTGTGGAAGAATTCTGGAACACAGACTGATATTTAGTTTGGTTTGTTGGGAGTCCTTGGTCCACACAGCTCTGTCTAGGTGTTTCTAGGTTTGCCCACGTATGCCTCTTGGGTTGTCTCTATTTCTGCCACTGTATCAGTGTACTGGGTGCCTGTCCCATCTCTCACTGCATATTAGAAGCTGCTGAAGGGAGGGCACTTTGCACCTCACTGCACATTCTCCTAGGCAAGGGTCTCAGCCTGGTTGTAGTATCTCACTCTACTCTGCAGCCTTTAAAGCCTCTGAGCAATTCAAAAATTAACCATCCTATAGAAATCAAGTGATTTGCTTTGGGCTCCATGGTTAGAATTGGATCTCACATCCAGGTACTCTGATACCAGGTTCAAACCATAGAACTTGACTTCTAATCCAAACAGCAATAGGAGAAGTCAGAGAGAAGCCCAGTTCTCCCACATTTACTCCAGAAAAGATCTAAAAACCACAAATGATCAAATAAAGATCAAGAAATTAAAAAAGAAACAATAAAAAATGCCTTCAGCCACAGGTCTGACAAAAGGATTTGGCCAAGGATGCCAGTATGAGTTCAGGTAACAGTTCATAAGTGTGACAATGCTCTGACATACAAGACTTGTCGGCAACTACTATTAAAGAGAGATAAGGATAGGGCCTGAACCTGTGACTTCATTGGTACAGGAATTCCCAAGTAAGGAGTCTTCCTCTGCCAATGCAGGTGGATATCTACTCTGTACTTTATAGTCTTAGAGAGTTATCTAGAGCACTGAGGGGTTAAGTTACTTGCCCAGGATCATGCAGCCAATCTGTTTCAGAGGCAGAATTCAAACCCAGATCTTCATATCTTCAAGGTCAGCACTCTAGCTACTATACCATACTGCCTTTCACTATAGATGAGAGAAAATCTTGGGATATGGTATTCCAAAAAGCATAAAATAAGGACTTACAATAAAAAATAATTTACCCTGTGAAACTGAGTATAAGCCTGTGGCAGGAAAAATAGACTCTTAATAGAATAATTGACTTTCAAACATTCCCAATAAAAAGATCATAGCTGAATAGAAACTTTTAAATGCATATATAGGAGTCAAGAGAAACTTTGAAGGGTTAATATTGCAGTGGATAGAGTGTTGGATCTGGAGTCAGGCAGACTCATCTTCCTGAGTTCAAATCTGGCTTTAGACTCTTACTAGCTGTGCGACCCTGGGCAAGTCACTTAACCCTGATACCTCAGTCCCTCATCTGTAAAATGAGCTGGAGAAGGAAATGGCAAAGCACTCCAGTATCTTTCCCAAGAAAACCCCCAATGGGGTCGTGGAGATTCGGACATGACTGAAACGACTCAACAACAAACAGCAACATATAGTGCTTAAGTTTGATTTAAAGAGTCAGACACAACTGAAATGATTGAACAACAACAACAAAAATGTTAATAACATTCCTTCTCTTCTATGCCTTCTCTTCTTTGTAAAGGGGGGAGGGGTGGGACACAAAGAGAAGAGGAAAAAAAGTAAAAGAGAATTATGATGGAAGGAAATAATTAACCATCATAATCACAAACATGAGGGTAATAGAATGTATCAGAAAGCTGAATCCAAAAATGTGTTGGTTTATAAGAAACACGCTTGAAGCACAAAAATTCAGACAGAGTTCAACTGAGAGGTTAGGGAAGAACTTATATTTCAAGAAAATTTTAAAGAATCTCAGTCAAAGCAATAGTACAAATAAAATTAAAAGAGCTAAACATCAAAACAACATTTTAGTTAAAGGCACCATAGAAAATGAAATAATATCTATAACAGTCTACAAACACCAAATAGTATTGTGTCTAAGTACTTAAAGGAAAATTTAATTAAATTGCATAGAGAAATAGATTAGATATCAAAACTTTAACTGGGAACTATGCATCACTTTCAGAATTGGGAAGATTTAACAAAAAAGATCAGCAAAACATAAATTAAGGACTTGAATAGAATTTTTTTAAGAAGTTAAATACAATAGCTTTCTGGCAATCATTGAATGGGAATAAAGAATCTATCTATTTCTAAGTGTGACATAGCACATTTGTAAAAGTTAACCATGTGTCCTTAAGAAATTAAAAAAAAAACCTTAGAAACTATTGGTAAAGCAAAAATATTCAATATATTTTTATTGATCACATTGCATTTTTTTAAAAAAATATATGTATTATATATAGATAGATAGATAGATAGATAATTAATAAAGGACACTAGAAGAAAGGATTTAAATTTAAATGGAGATTAAATAACTTAATCCTAAAGAATTGGTGGGCCAAAGAACATATAGAAATAACAGATAATTTCATCAAAGAAAATGACAATAATGAGATATCACATTAAAATTTAAGGATGTAATCAAAGCAGTTCTCTTTTTTTGAAACTGGGTTTCCATATCTCATCCAGGCTGGAAGCATAGCAGCCTCTCACAAACCTAATTCCACTGCTGAAAGGCATAGGAGCTATGACCTGTTCTGTTTCTGAACTAGGCAGATTCTCCTTTCCTTAGGCAGATGGGTGCCCCTGCCCCCTTTCTGAGGGTTCATCGTATTGGTACCAGGCATAGTGTGTGGATACCCAAACAGGTTAGCCCACTACAACTCAAAATTCCTAAGCTCAGGTGATTCACTCACCTTAGCCTCCCTGATAGCCGGAACCGCAGGTATACATCTTTATGTCTTGTCTGAAAACAAAAGAGTTCTTAGGAGAAAATTTATGTCTCTAAACCATCAGTTCTCAGAATGTGGTCTGTGGACTCCTGGGGGTCTCCAAGACTGTCTCAGAGGGTCTATAAGGCCAAAACCATTTTCACAATATTTTTCTAATGATGTATTTGTGCGAAGCTGTCTTTATAACATATTTCAGCTAGAACAACCTATCAAAATAGATCTGCATAAGCAGATGTGGCAGAGCCAGTATTTGATCCTAAGTATCTTGGCTCCAAATCTGGAACTCATTCTATTACCATTCTTCCCTTCCTGTTCTGAGCACAACGTGAGTCTGCCATGACATCTAGAGACTTCCAAATTATCTAAAAGTGCATGTGGGAATTAGAAGAATGGATCAATTAGTGAGATCCAAAGACCCCAAATAGGCCTTTGGTATGTTGTGCTGTTATTTTCCATTTGACTTGTAGCCTTTAATTTTTACACCACAACCATTTCCCTGCAGCCCTCTCACTGAACCTTTTCTCTTAATTTTCCTCTCCTCCCCCACCACCTCATTCAACCCTCTTTCATAATTTGATTTTAAAAGCTAAACAAAACCAAGTAATACAGTGACTTTATCTGGCAGTGTATTACCTATTCCACATCTGCAGTTCCCCATCTTTCTATATATGGAGAAGACTGATCTTTATTTCATTCTATTTTACAGGACTGGGATTCTTCATTGTATTCATCAGAAGGCGATTGACTTTAAATATGATTATTTCTATCATTACAGACATGGATGTTGCT